CCCGGAAAATAAGAAACAGTTCTTTCTTTATTCATTCAGTATGTGTATGTGAATTATTTATCCACCTCACAATTTCACACTACTTTTACACCATACCCCCTGGAAAATTTTCTGTGAACTCCCATGCTCACTGTCCAAGATACCTTTCGGTCAATATCAGACTTGTTACCTGAGTTGGTAGTCTCTCATCGTTCATCCCATCTGACGCGATCTGGTATTGAACGAAAGACCTTTTGGGCAGTGACTTGTGGGAGACAGAAAGATAGATCTGAAATGCTACTTTTTATATACCTTTGATTTTGAATCCGCTATAAACAAATGAAGAGGAACGTGAAAATAAAACCTGCAGTTAACGTGATTTTATCATCACAACTTTTAGGCCTCATATTTCTTTTAACTCATTTATTGGCAATAAACATTTAAAGAAATTTTTGTATTCTGCTAACAACTTTCAAATAAAACTTCTCTTTCTACTTTTACAACTTTCTAAACAATAATTAATTTGACTCATGTTTTAATTCTTTATAAAAGCGTGCCCTTTCTACCGGTTGTTTAGTCGGCATAGTTTACGCTAAACATGCATTTTTTATCTTTTGAATTACTCTCGTGTTTCTATATTATGTTTGTTATCGCTGCAAACCAATTCATTAACCAACTAATAATTTGTATATTAAAACATAAAATTGAGGCGTGGTTCTTCTTTGATATTTTACATGTGATAAATTTTTTCTGCTGTTTTTTTTTTATACAACAGAACATTTTTTTAGTTATTTTTCTACTGCCGTTAGCATTCTGCGCCTATTTCAGACATAGTATAACTAATCCTACCTCTATGTTTATACAATTGTAAGAAAAAAGTGTAATAAAGTAACGAAGGGAAACTGTGTGCGATTTAGGTGTAATCTTATCATTCGAAACGGAAGATATTTTGGCTTCAAAATATCAAGGAATTTTACGTTTTTAACAACACCAATTTATTGAATAATGTTTTGTGTTGAAGTAGGAAATGGAAATGCCATTGTTTGCGTGATGATTTTATTATGTTTTGTATATTTTGGTGAGATATCTTAGATGATATGGCAGTTTATATCTATCAATGCTGTAACGATATAGCTTGTACCGAGATTTAAATATTTGTTGAAAGTGGAGCTTGGAGCTTTTTTTTTTTTTCCTATGGGTATTTCCATACATGTTCAAGGCTACCTTCTTTTTTCCAGGCACCTTATAACTATAGACGAAAACCAGTTTAAACGTTTATAAACAATATTTCAAAGAAATGGTACTTTATATTGTGAAAAAAAAAAACAATAACTGGAGAAACGTATTTTGATTATATTTACAGTATATTCATGTACGATTGGAAAGAAGATCAATAAGTTTGTGAATTTCATATACCATATGCATCATCGTATATAGAAATCAGCGCTCAGATTGCGGCTAGAAACAACCAGTGTTATTGTTTTAATTGCAGCCTGTTCTCTTATAAGATTTAGCATATATATTTTAAAAAAATATTTCTGACTGTGGGAATCTCTTGCCAATTTTCAGTTGTTTTATTTTATTTTTTGTTTTTTAGATTTTCAGAAAGAGTCTCCTAGTCATTTTTTTATAACTTGGGAATTTAGATCAGATTTGGTTGTATGATCTGGGAGTTTGTTTGTATGATCCGGGAGTTTGTTTGCAATAAAAATTAGACTTATGTGAGTTTTAGT